AGTGCGGCCGAAGGCCGCCTACGCAGAAAGGTGTTCTCTGCAAAAGGTGTTCAGCCCCCCTTCTTTGGCAACACAGAAAGGAGAATTCTACTGCCTGAGGGTTATAATCCCTAAGTGCGGCCGAAGGCCGCCTACGCAGAAAGGTGTGCTCTGAAAAGGTGTTCAGCCCCCCTTCTTTGGTAACACAGAAAGGAGAATTCTACTGCCTGAGGGTTATAATCCCTAAGTGCGGCCGAAGGCCGCCTACGCAGAAAGGTGTTCTCTGCAAAAGGTGTTCAGCCCCCCTTCTTTGACAACACAGAAAGGAGAATTCTACTGCCTGAGGGTTATAATCCCTAAGTGCGGCCGAAGGCCGCTTACGTAGAAAGGAATTCTACGCAAAAATACATTTGTTAACAAGTAAGAAAGTCTAAGTTCGGGCGGAGCCGAACATTAAATACCCGGCGCAAGTATTAAATACATGTTTTTCCCCTTTCCGAAAGCTACCCCTACATGGAAAGCCGGGGTGTATCAATTTTGAGTAAATTAGCGTCTTTAAATTTCGAAATATTGCAGTTTCAAGCATTTCTGAAATTTACCGTTATATGAAAAGCGGCCGTAATTTTAGTCCGATTTCAATAATTTTCAACGTTTTGCTGTTATGTGGCAAGAACAATAAAAATACCGAGTTTGGTACAAATTGATAGAACGGTTACCGATATACATATATGTGATCACAAGTGGGCGGTGCTACGCCCATTTTCCAAAATTTTGTCATAAACGTATTTCTTGGTAAAGAATTGATGCAATCATCAATTTTGAATAAATTAGCTTCAATATTTACTGATTTATCGAAGATTTTGTATTTCTCGAAATTACCGTTATATGGGATGTGGGCGTGGTTATTGTCCGATTTTAGAAATTTTCGGCCAGTTGGTATGCTGTACCAGGGCCAACAACTGTGCCAAGTTTGGAAGAAATTGGTGTAGCGGTTACCAAGATATACACATGTAACCATAAGTGGGCGTGGCTACGCCCATTTGCCAAAATTTTGTAATATTCTTATTTTTCGTCTAAAACTCATTGCAAATATCAATTTTGAGTGAATTATCTTCAGTAGTTACTAAAATATCGCAGTTTTCGTTTTTCTGAAAATTACCGTTATATGGGAGGTAGGCGTGGTTATTGTCCGATTTTTAAAATTTTCAGCCATTTAGTATGCTGTTCTAAGGCCAACAACTGTGCCAAGTTTGGAAGAAATTGGTGCAGCGGTTACCTAGATATACACATGTAACCATAAGTGGGCGTGGCTACGCCCATTTTCCAAAAATTTATAATATTCATGTTTTCCGTCTGAAACTCATTGTAAGTATCAATTTTGAGTGAATTATCTTCAGTAGTTACTAAAATATCGCAGTTTTCGTATTTCTTAAAATTACCGTTATATGGGAGGTAGGCGTGGTTATTATCCGATTTCGCCCATTTTCAATACCATCCGTCCCACGCCCAAAAGAAGTTCACGTACCAAGTTTCGTTAAGATATCTCAATTTTTACTCGAGTTATCGTGTGCACAGACGGTCGGACGGACGGACGGACGGACGGAGGGACAGACAGTCACCGCTTAATCGATTTCTCTTTTCATTCTGATCATTTATGTATACATTTGTCTATATCTATCTCGATTCGTTTTGCCTGTTACAAACAACCGTTATGTGAACAAAGTTATAATACCCTTGTGCACAAGTGCGCTCGGGTATAAAAAGAACATTTTTTTTTATAAAAACTGTTTTTTTTTCTATTTTTAATTAACTTTTTATTCTTTATTCAAAATCCCCCCATATCTAATTTGGCATAATTTCTTTTATTAAATAATCCCACGGTTTCTGTTAGTTGGGTCATATTCCACTTCAAACTGCTCAGTTTGCCTAAGAAAATTCCGTTTTTCTCCCTTTTTCAAACGGTTCCCTAGGTGCCTGTGGGAGGAGTCCAAGGGGGGGTACCCCTTTTTAGAAAGCGGCGACTGTGACTTATGACCAGATACATACCAGGTAAATGCGCTATTATAATCCCTAAGTGTGGCCGAAGGCCGCCTACGCAGAAAGAAGGTCTATGCTAAAATACTATCATATTGCTATTATAACAACTATTTTCAATTTTTGTTTTACTTCGTGATAGAAAAGATCAAAAAATAAATGATAAAAAACGGTGAAGGTAAAAAAGTGAAGGCAAAATTAAAACATACATATGTATGTCTATATACATTCATATGCACATAAGAATTAGGGTAACTGAAAGGGAAGAAAATTTATTGAAATTTTTAGACAAGAATCGAAGTATATCTAGTCAAGGAAAATATAGTTGTCGAAAATTAACAAGTTGTCTAAATATATCGATTCATCGAATTTTATAGTTGTCGAAATGTTTGTGGAGTTATCATAATGTGTCCGAGTCTTTTCATCTTATCAAGCTAGATATATTTTTTATTTTATCTAAATTTGTTGGTATTTATCGAATTTTTGAATTTTCAAAGTATATGGAGTTATTAAAATTTATAGGGTTATATAAGTTTATCGAGTTATCACACCTTATTGAAATTTATTGAGTTATCGAGTGATGGAAACGCACAGAATATAACTTTATCGATAGTTATCGAAATCTATCGATAGTTATCGAAATTTATCGATATTACGTTTTACTTAGATACAAAGCTGAAGATTTTCCGGTAAGTATACTTGTACCTCAGAAGTTAGACGACGTGCAATGTCTGATTAGACGACTTGCTATGTCTGAAAGCATCTCTAGGGCTCTTGGAAAACTAGAAAAACAGTCGAATTTCTACAGTAACTGGCACTCCTAGTATACATACATATGTACATCCGAATCGCAGCGGCACCATATACAGCAAAAGCACGATGCTGCTGGTGTATGCAGATGATATTGACATCGTTGGCCTGAAAACCAGGGATGTCAGCGTAGCATTTTGAAGCTTAGAAAAAAAGCTAACGAGGTTGGTCTGGCGGTGATCGAGGAGAAGACAAAGTACCTCCTGGCAGCACATGATACGTCTTCGCGTATTGGGACACACTTCACTGTTGGCAGTCATAACTTTGAAGTAGTGAAGGACTTTGTTTACTTTAGGATCCAGCATAAACACAACCAATAATGTCAGTCTGGGTATAAAGCGAAGAATAACTCTTGCCAACACGTGCTACTTTGACTCGGTAGGCAATTGAAAAGCAGAGCTCTCTCTCGACGAACAAAAATCACGCTCTACAAATCTCTCACCATGCCCGCCCTTTTATATGGCGCAGAAACATGGACGATGTCTAACAAAGATGAGAATGCTTTGGGGCTTTCGAGAGAACTATTCTTTACAAGATCTATGGCCCCGTTCGCGTGGGCGACGAGTATCGAAGAAGATGGAATAACGAACAGATGGTCAATTCCCGTTCTGCGTTATTGTGAAGTGAAAAGTATAAAATTAACACCGAAATAACTGCGGTGTAAAAGTGTTATTTTCATCACTTCAGAATAACGCAGAATGAGAATTGACCCTCTGTACGAGGATTTTAACGACGTAAGATGAACAACTGGCGCAAATCTGCAAAGGAGAGAGGCAACTGGCGAAGTGTTTTGTTCTCGGCACAAACCGACAAACGGTTGTAGTGCCAAATAAGAAGAATTAGATATATGTACATACATACATGTGTAAGTTGAGAATTCTAGTGTTTTAAAAAACTTTCATAAAGCAGTCGGCCATAATTACGAGCTAAACTAACTCTCTTGAATAGTTTATTTTCACATTTCCACAAATCAAAACAAACGTTTTGTGGAATATAAAATCCGTTTGGTAACTCTCACATTTCGTTGACCTGCGCTTGTGCACAATTCCCGCTTGCTCATTGTCTTGCAGACGTGTTGAGTGTATTTCAGCTTCATGGGTATTATTTCTGTTTTACTCGACTATTCGTTGTCGGCTTGTAAAGACTAATATTTGGCTTAATTTTTTATTGGTATTAAACGTGAGTAGTGTGGGTATTTTCATTCAGACAAAAAATGCAGATGTTGAAAGGAAGAAAATATAAATATTGTGTACATTCTTCAAGTGTCTAGTGTTGTTTGTATATCAATATGAACATACATAAATATGCATATACATATGTATGTACGTGCATTTGTACATATATCTGCCTTCTGTTGAACGGAAATTTAATCGAGTGACTAATGCTGGATTACTGATTTGGTTAAGGAGCACTATTTGCTTGAAATCGCATTCAAAGAAGATGCATACATACATACATACAGTGGTCGAAAAAATTATAGCCGCTTCTCATTTTGACAAGTTTTAACATATTATTTTTGTTGTTATTTCATTTTTCTTATTTGTTCAAAGAAATAAAGTTCATTCTTTAACAAAACCCGTGTAAATCCAAGATTCAAACTTTGTGGAATATTAAAACAAAAAATTTACAAAACGTTCGTACAAATTTAGAGATTTTTTAATTAAATATCCTAGAAAGAACTGAGTATGCAGTTTTGTAGCCCATGGAATGCTAGTAGAATAAAGTGCAAGTATCAAATGGCTAAAAATTACCGTTGATTTTTTAGAATATTTTTTGTCGAAGATGAAACGGTTTTCTTCCATATAAAAATAATGGCCAAATTCTGTATCGTTGACACAAATTCTGTAACTGACAAATTTAAACTTTTTCATATATTTTTCCGTAAAAAACTACAACAAGAATTTGGCACTGTTACAGAATAGAGCGGTAAACTGTGTGTATTCGTTAAATATAATAGAAATATAATAGTAAAAAAAAAAGATATTTTTAAAACAAACTTTCTAAATAGGAACGAATCGCACCATAAATACTTGTTTACCAAATATCTCGACGCCTGCGCCACCTATCGGTAAATTTTTTAGTGGAGTTATTTTTTTCATGTAATTAATATACGTTCTGAATATGAACATTAATCGGATTATAAATACGGGTTTTTCAAATATCTCGACTCCTGTACCACCTATCGGATTAATTCATCCTTGGTATTGCATTGTCATCGGATTCTGAGCCAACTGCGAATTTTTAAGTCTCTAGGTCATCGGGAAGATGGTCAAAAATTGATTGCAAGATTAGATTTGAGCCAAACAGACATACATACATACAGAGCAAGTTAAATAAAAGCTTGTAAAAATTAACCGTAATTTTTAGCCATTTGAAGCTTGTACTTTATTCTACTAGAATTTTTCTCGGTGGCGCGTCTAATACCCAATTTGCCACAGAACGAGGACGAGTTCGAATCAAAGTCGATACGACGTCGGTTTGGTGAAGTCGTTTGTGTGAACTCGAAACGACGCACAGTGGTTCAGAGCTCACATTTAGCACGAAAAAAAATCGTATCTCCTATAAACCGTGACCGATTTTCCTCAAATAATAAACATATTAATCTGCTTTAGAAGAAGCACATTTCAAACTTTTTTTGATACCTCTTCCGGTACCGGAATTATAGACTAAAGCATGGTCACAAGAAATTGCTAAGACACACTATCCGTTAAATTATGCAAAGTATGACAATACGGGTGTCATGTAAAAAGTAAGCGGAAGTATTTTAACACAGACATATTTTCGTCAAAATTTTAAAGTTATTTTACAATATTCGTTTTCATAATTTTTCCGAGAGAATACATTCTCTAGGGAAATTTTTATTAAACATAAATGAACTTGCAAGTATTAAGCAAATTTTACGTTTTTTCAATACTCACATAAAAAATTTAAAGTTTGTTTCTTTATCATAATATTTTTGTTACGATAAAACTTTATTTTGTTTTCAGGAAAAGCTTTAAATTTATAAAAAGAAACGTGGAAACTACACAAATTTGTTGCAAGTAATTTTGACAGCATTCGAATTATACGAGTTTTGACATAAGGCACTAGAAAATTTTAAGCATTTTATTACCTATTTTAATTATAGTTTAATATAAAAATAAGCGTTCACAAAACTTCTTTTATTTTTACGGATCCAAGGCTTTAAAAACAGGCACCTAAAACTCTGTTCGGCTGCTGTGGGAGTGGCTATAAGACCTTTATATTAATAAGGGTACCTAGAAATAACAATAGTTCAGAGCACTTAGTATCGAATTTTCGAACTATTTTTTAATGTGATGGAATCTGAAATAATTTACTCAATTAGTATCAGACAAAAAATTTAGGTTAAGAATAAACTGGAGTCAATACCGTGCTAAGAATCAGTTTCATTAAGTAATTCAGTGTGTGGCGCTTTAAGCAGATTAATCGCATCTAGATTTTTTTTTTATTTTTACCGCATTTTCCTTGTAAATTTAATTCAGATATTATCAGATCTGATCATGGCAAAAGAATAGTTTGAAATATACAAATAAATCCAAATGACATTTTGTCCATTTTAAGTGTATAACTCTCCTTTTGATAAACAAGTTTAAACATGTAAGTTAAAGCTGTAAAAAATATCTTTCATTTGATATCCATACTGAAACAAGTGAATTACTTTTAGATAATTATAAAAAGGTGGCAACCTTTTTCAGACAACACCCTTTCATTTAGTTGAAAAATGCCATATTTTCCTAAGACAAACTTTCGTACAAGTCGTTAGAGTAGTCGAAGTTATAACTTAATTTATTGTATTCACAATCCGGTGCATATGGTATTGCATGTGTATATTTCGGTACATTATTGTAAACATGCACAATACAACAATAAAATTTCCAAAGTCACCGTAATATTCATATGCAAGACCATATGCACAGGAGTGTGATTACCCTTAATAATATACATAAGCCATTCAAAATGTATAGTACAGATGCATACAAATTTGGCCAACTAACTTCTGATAAACCGATAGTTGTATAAACAGGGGCAAAGAGGAGGGTTTGTTTTTCTTTATCATGATACAATGGTATTGGAACTACAAAATAGTGATAGTTTCAAAACTTGCAATCACTTGCATTTTTTTTTTAATCTTCGGTGAAAAAGTGTTTCTTAATAAATAAACTGTTTTCTTTTAAGCGAGATGTAACTTGAAGTAAACATTTTTTGATTCCCCTTTTCGCTTGTAAACGTAATATAATAATAATAATAGATTGGCGCTTACACATATGTTAGTGTTTGGCCGAGTTCTCCTCCGATTTGTGGCGTGCGCCTTGATGTTGTCACACAAAGCGGAGGAACCTACAGTTTAACGCCGACTCCGAACGACGATTGTATTTTTATGAGAAGCTGTTTTTCATGGCAGAAATACACTCGGAGGTTTGCCATTGCCTGCCGAGGGACGACCGCTGTTAAGAAAACACCTTTTTTCTATATTTTTGCGATGTTGCTTTGACCAGGTTTTGAACCCAGGCATTGTGGAGTGGAAGTGCGCACTGCTTACCACTACACCACAGCGGTCGACGACGACGTAATATAGAAAACCCAATAAAAGCAAATAAGGGTAGCTGAAAGTAAATGTGATTATAAACTACCAGAAATGCACGAATGTTAGAAATTTGATTTAATTCGCATTAAAATTGAGTTCTGAACCATAGTGCAACGTCAAATGGAATTAATTTTTTCCACATAAAATTTGTACACTATTACACTAAAATTTAATGAATTATAAAACTGCTTTATATGTTTTTCTTTTAATTCATATTGGAAAGTTGGAAATTTTTAGAAATGCTTGCTGATTTGTTTTTTATATATTGCACACAATTTGAAATTGGATTTGTAGGGTTTTTGTTAAACATTCGTTTTGCAGTTCGCTAGTATATTGTTTTTGCGGTTCGCCGGCGAATCGTTTTTGCGGCCCGCCCAATTGTTCACCAGAACGAGCCGGAAACGACGTCGCACAGCGTGCTTTTTGAACACTACATGCGAATTAATCGTAGTGCTTTCGAAAGAAGCAACATTTTGATATGAAGCAAAATGGTTTTGAAAGCAAATGTAGTTCTCTTTCACGGAAATATATTGGCATTGAGCCAAAATTACTCTTTGACTTAAAAAAAAATTAGTTAAAAATAGTGTTCTTCGAAAAAACATGCAAATCCACCACATTTGTTCCAACAAAAATTTATTTGTATGTTTTATTATACTAATAATATAGGTTTTGAGACGGAAAACACGATTCCACTGTTAAAAAACGAAAAAAATTGCACCCCTCCATTTGAAAAACGCATTAAATATTGCATTCGTTATGAATTGCATGCAGCGAAGCCTCCTTCACTCGAACAACAAGTACGTTGTAGTGCTATTCAAGACCTTTAATTTGAGCCAAGATAGAAGTTTCTTGGCCTTTTGGAGATCCAAATTCTGAAGTTAAACTCCGAAATTTCATTCGACATTTTTGCAAATTTTTCTTCTAATTTCAGAGTAAAAACTCGTACAGCAGATTCGAGGTTTGATGTAAACCTCCAGTGACTTGCTAACCTGCCTGAAAGTCCAAATAAATGTATGATAATAATAATAATAATAATTTTTGGCGCTTCAACTTTACTGCACGTCTATACCTGCTATGGGCGCTCGCGTTCGAACTGTCAGTTTTCTCGCATGCGAAATCTCATCGCTGAGAAATTTTTGTACGTGGGCATTTGATTGCATACCATTTCAGCGCGAATTTGTTTTAAGTTTTTTATAAATGTTGCGAAAATTGTATTTTTTTGATTGGTTGTTCCTGAATAACGTTTCTCCGAATAACACCATTTCTTTCCTACTCAGAATCAAAGCAAATATGAAACAAGTGAAGAAGTATAAGTTCGGGCGAAACCGAACACTATATACCCGGCGCACGTATTAAATATCTTTTTTTACCATTCAGTAAACTGCGTTTTAAGGAAGAGTATTTTTCCCGATGTCAAACAGTTTCAAATAATATGCTATGATATATTGAAATAATTGGACCAAATTTGGTGGAAATCGGGGAGGTGGATATCGATATAAACTTATGTAGTTATAAGTTAGTGGTGCCATGCCCATTTAACAAAAATCAATAATCTTGTGTCTTGTTAGAAGAT